CAAGCTGTCGCCTTGGGTAGAGTTGCCCTCACGTCACAGCTCACAGCAGCCTCAAACTCTTGGGCTTAAGCGATTCTCTTGCCTCAGCCTCCCAAGGAACTGAGGCTACAGGTGCCCGCCCGGCTTTTTTTTGTTGGTTATAGTTAGCATTGTTACTTGACGGCCTCGGGCTGGATTCGAACCTGCCAGCTCCTATGTATGTGGCTGGCGCCCTAGCTGCTGAGCTACAGGCGCAGAGCCAGGCAGTAGACTGTTGTCCAAGTAAATAATTCTGGCATTGGCCGGGCTCGGTGGCTCATGCCTGTGATCCTGGCACTCTGGGAGGATCTGTAGGCCCAGCTACTCAGGAGGCTGAGGCAGGAGGACCACTCCCAGGAGTTTGAGACTGCTGTGAGTTACTATGCCATGGCACTGTACCCAGAGTAACAGTGAGACTGTGCCTCCAAAAAAAAGAAAAAGTTATAGTATTACATTATTTAATAGAAACATACCAGACATATGGACACATTTCATCTTCATGATAGTCGTGTGAATTAGGCAAATAATCTTAGTTTACAGAAGAGTAAATTAGTTAACCTAAGGTGCTGATAGGTTAAAAGGAGTATTCTAACCCATATTTTATCTTCCAATTCAAGGACCTTTCCTTTATATTGCAGATAACACCAAGAATTGTGAATAATTAGCATTAAATAGACAATTATATCCTGGAATGGAATCCAGTCAGTCAGCTGCTGGGTCAGGGGGAATCTTAAGTTTTTTAGTTCACATTTCTTTAAACCTCATGAACCAAACTCTGTAAGCTTCCATGTTTTCTTCAACTTTCTCACTTCTCTCAACTTTCATATACTGAAGAGAGAGCCTTGCTCTGGATTAGGTTTTGGCTTAAGAGAATGTTATAGCTGATTTGATTGTCTATCCAGACCTGTCAGACTTTCTTCATATTAGGAGTAAGGCTGTTTTACTTCCAAATTGGTCTGTTTATTGGAGTAGCTTTTTTTTTTTTTTTTTTTTGAGACAGAGTCTCAGTTTGTACCCCAGGCTAGCATGCCATTGTATCAGCCTAGTTCACAGCAGCCTCAAACTCTTGGGCTCGAGCGGTCCTCTTGTGTCAGCCTCCTGAGTAGCTGGGACTACGGTGTGTACCACCACACCCGGTTAGTTCTTCAGCTGGTCCTGAGCTCCTGAGCTCAGGTGATCCACCGACCTCAACCTCATAGAGTGCTAGGATTATAAGCATGAGCTACTACTCCCAGCCAACTTGCTGTCTTATGTGGGTAAGGTTCATGGCACCTCAAAACAATTATAGTAGAAATCAAAGATCACAGATCATCATAATATGTATAACAGTAATGAAAAGTTAGAAATAGAAAATTACCAAAATGTCATACAGAGACATGAAATAAGCACATGCTGTTAGAAAAATGGCACCAGTAGATTTGCTCCATGCAGGGTTGTCAGTAACCTTCAATTTGTTAAAGAATGCAGTATCTGTGTGGCACAATAAAGTGAGATATGCCTGTATGTATTCTTTGTGACACTCATTATATGGCTAGTTATATAATTTTTTGTTTTATTTGTGTCTTCTTGGCCTTGAAAGGTAGGGCCTGGCTCTTATTTCTCAATTCGTCAGTTCCTAATAATACAGGTTAGCAATGTTAAATAAATATTAAATGACTTGTGTTTAAATTTTATGTAAATTTTGTACTCTCTTTAAATCCTCTTCTATTATGACTGTTTGGTTCAGATAATCTCTGGTATAGTGTAAGATTTATGGCATTTTAGAACTGAGGCAATAGAGTAAATGTATTTATCTGCTTGGTGGCTGTGGGTTCCTAGTTTTGGTTTGCTAGGTGTTAAAGCTTTTTATGTACTGAAACCAAGCCTTGGGTGAAGTACAGTGCTAACAATGGTATTTTAAAAAGTTAGATTAGGCTTGGCGCCTGTAACACAGTGGTTAGGGTGCCATCCACATGCACCAGGGCTGGTGGGTTCTAGCCCAACCAGGGCCTGCTAAATAGCCAGACGTTGTGGCAGGCTCCTGTCATCCCAGCTACTTGGGAGGCTGAGACAAGAAAATCGCTTAAGCCCAAGAGTTGGAGGTTGCTGCAACACTATGGCACTCCAAGGGCGACATAGTGAGACTCTGTCTCAGGGGGAAAAAAAAACAACTTAGATTAGGCATTATTTCCTTGGAGAGGCCTCCCTGATAGCTGCTCCTCACAAAAAGATAAACATACTCTAAGATTTGTTATATGCTTCAATAGCATTAGCGTACCCTTCTGTACTTGTCTTTTTCCTTTTTCACTACATTTTTACTTTAGTAGTTCAGTCATCTGTGTTTCATTGTTATGTGGTAATAGCTCCTTAAGGCCCAGGACCGTGGTTTACTCACCATTGTATGTATTCACTATCTGATACATCTCAATGGTTAGTCAGATATTTATGGGGTTTTTTGGTTTGTTTGTTTTTCTGAGACAGTCTCACTATGTTGCCCTCTGTAGAGCACTGTGGCATCACAGCTCACAGCAACCTCAAACTCCTGGGCTTAAGAGATTCTCTTGTCTCAGTCTCCCAAGTAGCTGGAACTATAGGTACCCGCCACAATACTTGGCTATTTTTTGTTGCAGTTGTCAGTGTTTAGCTGGCCTGGGCCAGTTTCGAACCCACCAGCCTGGGTGTATGTGGCTGGCACTGTAACCACTATGGTACGGGCGTAGAACCTATAAGTATGTTTTAGGCTGGACACAATGGCTTACACTTACAATTTAGCAGTTTAAGAGGCTAAAGTGAGTGGATAGCTGATAGCTTGAGGCCAGGAGTTTGAGGTCAGCTTGGGCAACATAGTGAGACCTTATCTCTTAAAAAAAAATCCAGGTATGGTGGTGCCTGTAGTTCTAGCTACTTGGGAAGCTGAGGCAGGAGAATTGCTTGCATCCAGCAGTTGGAGGCTACAGTGAGCTGTACTTTAGCTTGGTTGACAGAATGAGATCTTGTCTCTTAAAAAAATAAATAAGAGTTGTTTTGTAAACTGAACAGATTCTCACTTAACTGAAACTTTGATGGAAGTAATATAAAGTCCCTATGATTTTAAAGAGTGTCAAGCAAGGTATCAGCCAGGTGCAGTGTAATCCTGGCACTCTGTAAGGCTATGGCAGGTGGATTTTGGGCAATAGAGTGAGACTCTGTCTTAAATTAAAAAAAAAAAAAAAAAAATGAACAGTGCCTGTGGCTCAAAGGAGTAAGGTGCCGGCTCCATATGTCAGAAGTGGAGGGTTTAAACCCAGCCCCAACCAAAAACTGTTAAAAAAAAAAAAAAATAGTTTCAAGGTATCAGGGTATAAAATAAGTTTGCATTCAGTACATTACACATTTTATAATTTGGAGGTAAACCTCTTTGTTTTTGTTTGTTTTTTTTTTTCCAGACAGAGTCTCACTATGTCACCCTCTGTAGAGTCATAGCTCACAGCAACCTCAGACTCTTGGACTTAAGTGATTTTCTTACCTCACTCAGCCTCCCAACCAAAGTAGCTGGGACTTGGAGGCGCCTGCCACACAATGCCTGGCTATTTTGTTGTTGTTGTTGTTGTAATTGTCATTGTTGTTTAGCTGGCCCTGGCTGGGTTGGAACCCACCAGCTTGGGTGCGTGTAGCTGGCACCCTACCCACTGAACTATGGGTGCTGCCCTCTGTTTTTTTTTTTGGTGAGACAGATCTCACTCTTGCCCAGGCTAGAGTGCTATGGTGTCAGCCTAACTAACAGCAACCTTAAACTGCTGGGTTCAAGTGATCCTCCTTCCTAGCCTCCTGAGTACCTGAGTCTACAGGTGTCTATCACAATGCCCAACTAATTTTCCTTTTTTTCCCCTTCTTTTCTTTTCTTTCTTTTTGGTTTTTTTTTTTTTTTTTTGGCAGTTCTTTTGGGCTGGGGTTGGGTTTGAACCCACCACCTCTGGTAGTAGGCCATTGTCCTACTCCTTTGTGCCACAGGCACCAGCCTTCTTTCCTTTTTTTTTTTTTTTTTTTTTGAGACAGAGTCTCACTTTGTTGTCCTCAGTTAAGGACATGCCATAGTGTCATAGCTCATAGCAACCTCAGACTCTTAAGTGATACTCTTGCCTAAGCCTCCCAAGTAGCTGGACTATAGGCGCCCACAAAAATGCCTAGCTGTTTTTAGAGATGAGGTCTCACTCTTGCTCAGGCTGGTCTCGAATTCTTGATCTCAGGGAATCTACCTGCCTTGGCCTCCCATAGTGCTAGGATTATAGTTGTGAACCACTGGGCCAACCCTGACAAATTTTTTCTATTCTTAGCAGAGATGGGGTCTTGGTCTTACTCATCTGGTCTCCAAACTCCTAAGCTCAATCAGTCCTCCCACCTTGACCTACCCAAGTGCTGGGATTAAAGGCATGAGCCACCAAGCCTGGCCTAAATCTCTTTTGTATGTTAATAGAGTATTCTCTGTGAAATACTTTTTTTTTTTTTGACAGAGTCTCACTCAGTAGCCCTGGGGTTGAGTACCTGGCATTATAGCTCACAGCAACCTCAAACTTTTGGACTCAAATGATTCTCTTGCCTCAGCCTCCCGAGTAGCTGGGTCTACAAGCATCTGCCACATGCCTGGCTGTTTTTTAGAGCTGGGGTCTCACTCTTGCTGAGTCTGATCTTAACTCCTGAGCTCAAACAATCCATCTGCCTCAGCCTCCCAGAGTGCTAGGATTACAGGCCTGAGCCACCGTGCCCAGCTAAAAGACATTTTAAATACTTATTACTTTGTACATGAAACATCAGTTATACTTTATAAGAAAAGTGTTCTTTGCTATCCTTTTTGTTCTGATTTTAAAAAAATTATTATAAAACATGTAGATCTAAATTTATGGTAATATTTGTGAGATATTTGTAACCTGTTACTTAACAAGCCATATAGTGCCACTACTAAATCAAGTTTGATTTTATTTTAATAAAATTCACTCTTTTTCAGCTATCATTCATGGACTACCCAGTCTAACAGCTTACCAGTTGAAAACCGTATACATATGTCAGTTTTTAACAAGAATTGCAGCAGGAAAAACCCTTGGTAAATACCTGTTTTTATCTTATATTGGAAACATTTTGATCTATGTCTAAATGTAAGACAATGAGAAGAAACAATTGGGAATTGTCTTTTTGTTTTCCTTTTTTTTTTCTTTTGTAGAGACAGAGTTATTCTATTGCCCTCACTAGAGTGCCGTGGTGTCACACAGCTCACAGCAACCTCTAACTCCTGAGCTTAGGCCATTCTCTTGCCTCAGTCTCCTGAGTAGCTAGGAATACAGGCACCCGCCACAACACCTGGCTATTTTTTTTATTGCAGTTTGGCCAGGGCCAGGGTTGAACCCGCCACCTTCTGTATATGGGGCCAGCGCCCTACCCACTAGGCCACAGGTGCTGCCCTCATTTTTTTTTTTTTTGAGAGTTTGTCTGCATGATTCCAGTTATCTTCCTTAAACAGAATGCTGAGTCCCATTGTTTGTGAGTTTCAGACCCAGTAGAATGGGTGTAGGACCCTGGAATTTATATTTCTATCTTCCTGAATGATTCTGATGCTGCCATTGGAGAACCACACTATGTGGACTTTAAATTTTATTACACGATTTTACATTAAGTTTTACTATATGGTAACTTTTTGATGACTCCTATTATACTGTTTTTTATTAGCAGCTATATTTTAAATGCTTTGTTTGAATTTGATGTTAGTTAGGACTTATGTATGTAAGTAAATATAATTTACAGCTGTTATGTCTCTCCCTTATCCTGATTTTTTTTTTTTTTTTTTTTTTT